CCATGTTGACCAGGATGGTCTCGATCTCTTGACCTCGTGATCCACCCGCCTCGGCCTCCCACAGTGCTGGGATTACAGGCTTGAGCCACCGCGCCCGGCCTAATGTTTAATTTCTTAAATCTGGAATTGGTTTCAAAGATGTTTATTATTCACTATACATCTCTGTATGCTGAAATATTTCAAAGATACATAATAAAAATAATAAAGAAATGAACCATGGGAGAGGAGAAGGAAAGCATATTATATACTAAAAAGCTTAGAAGACTGATCAGAACCAAATTTTTAAATTTCACCAATTTCATAAAAATGATCACTAAAATGCCATTAATCAACTTGGAGGGGGGCAATAATTATCCAGCACTCATTAAAACCAAGCCCCATTATTTTTAGATGTTCTTATAAAAATAGCACAGGTTCAGCATCCCAAATCCAAAAATTTGAAATCCAAAATGTTCCAAAATCCGAAAACTTTTTGAGCACCAATCAACAACATGACATTCTAAGGAAACAGTCATTGGAGCACTTTAGATTTTCAGATTAGAGATGTTGACTCATTCAGTATAATGCAAATATGCAAAAATAAAAAATAAAAAAATCTGAAATCCAAAACATTTCTGGTCCCCAGCATTTCAGAAAAAAGATACTCAACATGAACTTTTTTAAAGTGGTAGTCTAGGAAAACAGAATCAATTATATTTTTTCACATTTCACTGAAAAATGTCTTGAAATAATCATTTTTGAAAGTTAATTAACAACATTTTAGTCAATGTTTTAAAGAAATAAGACATTTCATATCTGTGGGCACTGGCCACTATGGGCCATATGACTATGTTCCATATGACTGTGGAAAAGAATCCCCATTCTTTTCCACAGTCCACATTCTGGCCCATCGGCTCCCTTTAACACCTCCCACAGGCTCTGAAATAAAATCACATGTACTTATTGTACTTGATTGTAAACTTCAGCTCTCAATCTGTTCCCTGACCTAGCATGGCCCTTTACAGTTGGGTAGGAGTGTCCTACTATAGAGCTGAGCACGGTAGCTCACACCTGTTATCCTAGCACTTTGGAAAGCCAAGGCAGGGAGATTCCTGAGGTCGGGAGTTCCGAAACCAGCCTGCTGGCCAGGCTGGCTGGTCTCAGGTGATTTGCCAGGTGTAGGGGCCCACGCCTGTAATCCCAGCTACTGGGGAGGCTGAGGCATGGGAATCACTTAAGCCCAGGAGGTCAAGGTTGCAGTGAGCCAAGATGGCACCACTGCACTCCAGCCTGGGCAACAGAGCGAGTGTCTCAAGAAAAACAACAAAAAGAGTGTCCTACTATGAAGCATTAAATGAGGAAGCCCAGACTATAACGTACAAGCAGTACTTGATAGGTATTAATATTTACTCCCTAGTGGTGAAGTGGGGCTATGAGGAGCGCTTTAACGTCATACATATAGGTAGTGGCTAAAAGGAACTAAATGTTAGTAAAATATAAACATCCCAAAACTTAGATACTACATTTAAAGGAAATTTTCAAAATGTACACAGACTCAAAGAAGCACACATGAAATTCTAAAGTGCTAGCATACACATTTTCAAATTTTTAGATGCAATAATATTATAAAATATCTTATATAAGCTGGATGTTTGCACCAGACTTTAAAAATTGTTTGTTTTGATTAATATATTCAACTAAAGCAATGATTTATTTTGTGGACGATAAAGACAAAAAAAAGAAAAACTATTCAAACAAGCTTATAATGTCTGTCCAATGTTCAAGAGTTCTTTATTGCCAGCCGACACTTTTTGTTAAAAAATAAAGCAAAATTTAAAACCACTGCAGGGTTTGTGTATTTCCATGATTACCTGGGGGACTGTGCTCTGTAAGTCATTTGTAGGCCCAGCCAAAGAGATTAACTCTTTCATTGTTATTTTCAACAAATCCATTTTGCCTTTCTTTGGTTCAGATGCCAACAGTGCCTATGGAAAATGCAAAAATTACAGCGTTCTTAGTTTTCATACACTTTTTTTGCTGCTTCCCTGGATCAATCTCAAAATGCAAAATCCCCTTAATAAAAACGTGGTTATCAAAGAAAGTTAATTAAGCCATGTGGCCCTCGGCAAGTGGTTTAACATCACAGTTTAACTTACAGATTCTTTATCTCTAAATTTGGGTGAAGGTGAAATCATGTCATCTCTAAGGTCATTTCTAGTTTGTTCATTAAATTTTACAATTCTAAAAGGCTAAAAAAAAAATGACTCTTATTGACAACTCCTTAAGAGCCCTAAGTAGATGGCAGTTCTCAGATACAGTAAACAAATCAGTTTTAGTAACAAATTCATCCAACAAGAAAATTCTCTTTACTTAAAAAACAAAAAAATCTCTGGATTAAATTTCTTGTAAGAATGTTAAGGCTCCCTGAAGATTAAGCAGTTAATTCTTCAGAAAAGAATCATTACTTGGAGGAGTACTCAAATCAAAGCATTTGAAACTCCATGGAACCAAAAGAAATACTACAGCCGGGCACGGTGGCTCAAGCCTGTAATCCCAGCACTTTGGGAGGCCAAGGCGGGTGGATCACGAGGTCAAGAGATCGAGAACATCCTGGTCAACATGGTGAAACCCTGTCTCTACTAAAAATACAAAACATTAGCTGGGCATGGTGGCGCGTGCCTGTAATCCCAGCTACTCAGGAGGCTGAGGCAGAAGAACTGCCTGAACCCAGGAGGCGAAGGTTGCGGTGAGCCGAGATCGTGCCATTGCACTCCGGCCTGGGTAACAAGAGCGAAACTCCGTCTCAAAAAAAAAAAAAAAAAAGAAATACTACAAACACCAAAGAGGCCCTATATTTGAATTTTTCAGTAGCTTCTTATTTACTTTATATCTAACACTTTGCAAATATCCAATAAACACAAAAATAGGGTATTAAACCACTTGAGAAAACAAAAAGGAATGAGGTACTAATATATATTACAACATGGATGAACTCTGGAAACATTATGCTAAGTGAAAGAAGCCAGACACGAAAGATCACATATTGTATGATTCCATATATTTGAAATGTGCAGAATGGGCAAATCTACAGAGCTGGAAGGTAGATTAGTGCTTGCCTAGGGCAGAGTGGCAGGGGCAGAGAGAAATGGGAAGTGACTGCTAATGAGTATGAGAGGTTTCATGGGTTGAAGCTCTAACACAAAATAATGGCTGTACAGCTCTGTGAATATACTAAAAACCACTGAATTGTACACTTTAAAGGGGTGTTAAAGCTGTTTAAAAAAATCAATTTATTCACATTCTCAGACTCCCTTCCTCCATATCTACTTTTCATGTTTATAGCTACAGGCTCCCAAGAGTGAAGGTTTCAAGGTAGTCAGCTTCTTCTGAAGCATTTGAAATCTACAGAAGAGGAAAATAAAGACATACAAAAAAATAGTTTGGTTTAGAAGAAATTTCTCATAGTTTATTTATGCTCAGATAACATATTTTTTAAATGACTTCAAAAAAACTTCATGTCTATATTGAACATAATTTTTAATAAGTCTACACAAAAGGTAAACTCATAAACTATGTAGACAGTTCTTTTCCACACGCAACACTACACAGATTTCCACCAAAACAGAAATATAACTTTATTAGTAAGTCACACTAAGAGAAATAAAGACTCTCTCTAAGCAGGTATTTCTTTAAATTTAGACTTCGTTCAATTAAAATAAAGTGAAAAGCTACATGCAATTACTGAAATGTCTTCAGGGAACCCTGGTTTTTTTCTCCCAAACAGCTGGGTAAAGTTATGGCATTCTTGCCAAGGCTAGGGTAAGAAAGTGCACCTTCTAATTACTCACTACAACCAGTACTTAGTACAAGCTGGGCACCAGAGCTGAAAAAAGCACACTGCATAAATATGCAGTGAGACCTTGATGTTGTCTTAACATCTGATCACAGACAGACAAATGACATGTAAAAACCCAAGGTCAGAGTGAATTATGGGAAGGAGAATGCGCTACACTGATCTAGAATGGGTCAGATCAGATAAAAGTTGATTTATGAAGGTCACCAAAATCTGTAGAGCAGAACAACTTCAATGATCTTGTCACCAAAAAATCCTAAAGAGACTTTAGGAATTTAAGGGAGGAGTAAGAAAGAGAAGGAAAAAAATGTAGGGGCATGAAAAAAACCAGAGACTTCATTCCATTTATTTTCAGTGCTTTTATATACCACTGCATTACTGGATTTAATCTTACTATATTAAACAAAGGCCTTTCAGGATGGGGTCTGATTTAGTATTATGAAGACACTGGTTTTTATTCTTTGGGTTCATGAAGGTAATAGTCTTAATTTCTAAATAAAATATTTTCCCAGTGGGCGTGGTGGCTCACGCCTATAATCTCAGCACTTTTGAGATGCCAAGGTGGGCAGATCACGAAGTCAAGAGGTTGAGACCATCCTGACCAACACAGTGAAACCCTGTTTCCACTACAAATTCAAAAAAATAGCTGGGCCTGGTGGCATGTACCTGCAGTCTCAGCTACTCGGGAGGCTGAGGCAGGAGAATTGCTTGAACCCAGGAGGAGGAAGTTACAGTGAGCCAAGATCGTGCCATTGCACTCCAGCCTGGGACACAGTGATACTACGTCTCAAAAAAAAAATTTTTTTCCCCCTATCAACAGCCATATCTAAATGTGCTGATATGGAGCAATCTTTAAGGTATACTATTAAGTGAAATCAAAGACCGAACAATATATATAGTATGTTTTCATATATGTTGAAAAGGAAAACGGACTCGCACACACATATTCTCATATGAAGAGAGGGTCGGGAGTCAGGCTGCCTGGGCTCAAGTCTTAACTCAGTTCTTACTGTCTCTGTGGCCTTTGGCAAGTCACTTAACTTGCCTAAACCCCAGTTTCTTCATCTGGAAAACATGGATGATGATAGGGTACAGGAAAGGAGTTAATGAGGTTATGTATGTGAAATAATCACTAATAAATGTTAGCTACTATTATGATTATGATTATTGTATGGATGGATGTTTTATAGAAGAATTGAAAAGAAAATGTTAACACTGGTTGCCTACAGAGAGTATTGAAGGTCTTGAGATGAAAGGAAGACTTTTTTTTTTTTTTTTTTTTTAAATAAAGTGGGGTGGTGGGGCAACATGTGCATTTCCTGGAAGTGAGCAATGAATGTACCATGGTGATGTCTGCCTGCTTAATACACAGACAGAAATCTATACCACCCTCTGTTTATACTACAAGATTGACCTTTTAGAGGGTTTGTTCCAAGAACAGATCTTGTCACAGGAACATACCGTCCCCACATTAAAACAAAGCCACAAATGCTATGTTGCTGAAAAGACAGAAATGTCCTTTATGTAATATACTCACATGTCAAACAGGTTAGGATATACTAAGATCAAAAGACAAATATAAACAAACAGCTAGGGTCCCACAGATAAGTACCTGTATATAGAAAGGAATTCCAGCACTGCGCCTTGTAGCACAGAGTTTAGATGAAGGATCACTGCATTTAATTTCCTCTAAAACACTCCATAGCCACTGCTCCGGCAGCTTTTGCAGATCCACATTTGGGCACCTAAAAGGCATATATAATCAAACATTTGGAATTAGGTATCAAAGTTAAAACTATAAACTACTGATGTACATTTACATTGTTAGGAAATATTCTTATGTTCTTATATTCTTATATTGAAAAGTAGGGGTGAAACTAAAAAATGTCTCACTTATACTTTTCTCCTACTTTCCTCTTTATTATGGGTCTTAAGATCTAAAAATTTCATTTCATTTCTTGCAACTGCAGTGTTTAAAGCATGTGTCTTGTGTGCAAAATAAATTTTAATACGTAGGTTTGGAACCACGCTCAAAATGTTCTGAGAAAGGTTGATCATGCTCTCACAGATATTTCATACACTACAACTCAAGACTTACAACAAAGAAGAATATAACTTTATGGTTTACTATAATTTATGTTCCATGTTTATAGGCGTTACATATATTCAAAAGAACAAATTTTAAACTGTGCTTTAGTAATCATTGTAATCTCTCTCAAAATGAGGCCTACCACAAATAAAATTTTCGACTAGACCCTCTGGGAGAATTAAAGCAATTTACCTCGGATGAGGCATAAAAAGTTTTGAGGCTATTTCAACATTACATCAATGAGCTTCTGGATTATTACATTAAGTGTTATCTTGGAGTGCTCAAGAACATTTAATTTTTAGAAAATTTTTAAATGTATGCCCTACTAGACTATATAACATTGCCCAAGAAATGCCAAATTCAGTGGTAGGTGGACACAATTATCTTAGGAAGATAGTATCTGGTATTAACAGAAATTAATATATGAAAAGGAACAGATAAAGTCTAAAGGAAAAACACCCTTTTTTAAGTTGATGAAGAAATGCTGCAGAAAGATAACCGATTTCCAATTTATAGTGAGAATTACATCTCTTAAGAACACATTTGAGATTTTTTTTCTTTATTCTAGTTTGGTGCAAAATAGGTAACTTCAGTTACTGACTAAACATTCTAAATGGCAACTCAGATTCAGCTATATGTTTCACATAGAACAAAATATATAAATGCTACTAGGCATTTTTAAAAGTTTGACATGGACCTAAAAAATATTATTTCAGCCATAAATGTTATAATTACATCTCCCTATTCCTAGCAGGCTCTGTGATTCTAAAGGTTTTAGCATGTCTTAAAATCCATCACCTCACCCCTGCCTCTTCAACACTTCTGTCCTCAGCCACCAGAACCAGCTATCACAACTCTCAACCACTAGATTAAAAGAAATTCAGAAACCTAACAACCAAATGCAGTGTGTGAACCTTGCTTAGAACTTGATTTAAACAAATGAAATGTTAAACAGATACTATAGAGTACTGTTTTCTTTTCTTTTTTTTTTTTTCCTCACTTTACTCTTCTATAAAATGAAGGTTATTGAGAGGATTGAGTCTGTTCTTCTGTCTAATAAATTGTTAATGGTCATTTTCTACAATCATCTGTTATTACGAGAAAAGCAAGTATTAAAAGAGTTTCAATTGAACAGAGAGGGATGCAACAGATGAGTTTCCATTTTGACAGGACATCTCCCTACACATACAATGCAATTTAATATTAATAATATGAAAAATAGGGCCGGGCGCGGTAGCTCAAGCCTGTAATCCCAGCACTTTGGGAGGCCGAGGCGGGTGGATCACGAGGTCAAGAGATCGAGACCATCCTGGTCAACATGGTGAAACCCCGTCTCTACTAAAAATACAAAAAATCAGCTGGGCATGGTGGCGCATGCCTGTAATCCCAGCTACTCAGGAGGCTGAGGCAGGAGAATTGCCTGAACCCAGGAGGCGGAGGTTGCGGTGAGCCGAGATCGCGCCATTGCACTCCAGCCTGGGTAGCAAGAGCGAAACTCCGTCTCAAAAAAAAAAAGTAATAATAATAATAATAATATGAAAAATATACAAATATAAACCCCAAAACCAGCTGAGTTCAAAAACAAGATAATCATCTGGGTAAAAATGAAAAGAAATACAAAGTAGTGGGTGTGCTGATACCAGAGACCCACAGGGTTACAGATTTAGAAGCAGTAGTGGCAGCCAAAGAATTTCAGCAGCCTCATCTCTCTTGAAAAGAAGATGAAAAAGGTCTACTGCCAGAGCTGCCTGAGGCTGTAGCAGTAGGAAAAGCCATGGGCACAGGGGGCCTCTTAATCAGGCTGACTACTAACTCAGTGACTAGATCTATGATATCCCCAATTTCACTGTGGGGTGGGAGACCCAAAATGCCACTACGTAATCTAGTTCCTCTGATAGAAAGAGCCTAGAAAGAGATCAAGAAAGAAAACAAAAGGCTCCCATCATAGCCAGCAGGCCAAAATTCAAAATTTAGAAGTAAATTTTATATTAAGAAAGACAATAAAAAAAATCAGTAATTATAACATAGATTCACTCCACATAAACTAATTTTATGGAACAGTCTGATAAAGACCTTAAATTACTATGTTTAGGATACTGAAGCAATAAATAAAGGATAACTTCTATTTAAGGAGAGTAACTGGGCATGGTGGCTCATGTCTGTAGTCTCAGCAAGTCAAGAGGCTGAGGCAGGAGGATCACTTGAGCCCAGGAATCCAAGGCTACAGTGAGTTATGATGGCACCACTGGACTCCAGCATGGGTGACACAGACCCTGTCCCTTAAAAAATAAATAAAGAGCAAGAAATCATGAAAAACAAGCCATGCTGTAAGAACAGGCTTGTATAAAAATACAAAAGATCAGAAATATCGCAAATGAAAGTATACTTTCAGCCAAGCGTGGTGGCTCACGCCTGTAATCCCAGCCCTTTGAGAGGACAGGCAGGCAGATCACTTGAGCCCAGGAGTTTGAGACCAGCCTGGGCAACATGGTGAAACCCTGTCTCTACAAAAAAAATAAAATAAAATTAGCTGGGCATGGTGGCACTTGCCTGTAATCCCAGCTACCTGGGAGGCTGAGGTGGGAGGACTACTTGAGCCCAAGAGGCAGAGGTTGCAGTGAGCCAAGATCATGCCAAGGCACTCAAGCCTGGGTGACAGAGTGAGACCCTGTCTCAAAATAAATAAATAGACAGACAGATAGGCAGATAGATAGATAGATAGATAGATAGATAGATAGATAGATAGATAGAGATAAGATGAACTCTAAAGAATTCATGACTTAGAAGATACAGTTTTCTGGGAAATTTACCCAAAACAGAATGAAAAAAACATAAAATATATATGTGTGTGTTTATACATATGATAATTCCACATCTAGACATAGCATAGCAAAACTGTGATTAATAAAAAAACTTAAAAGCCATAAGTGATTAAAGAAAATAGGAGATTTACAAAGGAATATATGTTATACCAAAGACAAGTTTCTCACTGGCAATAACAAAAGCACTAAAGGAAAATAACTGTCCACCAGAATTGTATACCCCATAAAAGTACGTTCAAAAGCATAGGTAAGAAAAAGACAGTCTGAGATATAGAAAGAGTAAGTCTGCCTCCCAGAGACTCTCGCCAAAAGAAATTCTAAAGGATGCACTTCAACAAAGTATAAACCCACAGTAGTTTCAATGGGGTGTCTACTAGACATACCAAATTTAACATGCCCCAAACTAAACTCCTGATCTTCCTCCAAAAACCTACTCTACCCACAGTCTTGCTGATCCTAATAAAAGAATAACATATCGATCTCTTCAGGGGCTCAAGCCAAAAACTTCGTAGTTATCCTCTCTCTCTCAAATAGCAAATCTTATCTGTCAACAGACCTTGTCTGCTGTATCTTCACATTATGTCCAGATTCAGATTACATTTTACTATCTCTGCCACTTTCCAAGTCATCACTATGTCTTTCCTGTAGTATAGCAATATTGTAACCCTGTAATCGGTCCTTCTGTTTTCACTATTACAGTCTATTATCAACACAGCAGTAAGAGTTATCCTTTTAAAAGACCAGATCGTGTCACTCCTCTGTTCACAAACATTCTAATGGCTCCCCATTTTACTCAGAGTAAAAGCCAGTGTCTTCACACAATGTCTTAAGCTGTCTAGTCCTCATAACTTCTCTGATCTCATCTATAACTCTTTCCCATGCTCACACTACTCTAGTCATAAATGGTTAAACTGATGTACCCTAAATACCTACCCTAAGCCCATACCTCTCAGGACTTTTGTACCTAACATTCTCTCTGCTGTGAATGCTCTTCCTCCAGGTATTCCCACTGTGATTGTACAACTGCTAATTTTAGTATTCACTATCCCTTCTAGTACATGCAATATTTCACACTAATGTTTAAAAATTGGGTAAAATAAGGGGGTAGATGAGAGAGACGCTAAATAATTTGTTCAAGGTTACATGGTAACTAAATTTGCTCAAGGTTACATAGCAACTAAGTGGCAGAGAGAGAATTAAAACGTATACTGACACCAAAGACCTTGCCTCATAAAAAGACATTATTTCAATGTGCCTGCCCTAAACGCTCAGGTCTGGCTCATGACGAAGATACTATCAACTCTCTATTGTTTGTTTTAGTGGATTTCACTATTTCATTTCTAAAGGATTCTATGAAGTACCTAGTAGTTGCTTTGCACTATATTACCCCTTAAAACAGAACTGTAAAATAAAAATTCCGAAGGACACATAATTAACAAAATGTTTTCACATGGTTTTGGAATGTATTACCAGATAATATTATTTTTAAGACATTATCTTCCTCAATCATGTTTTATTCAGGTTACTTTTCAGATTGATTTCAATCCCTGAACATCTGTCATTAGGGTGGGGGGGTTAAAGTATTAATAGCTCTAAATGAACTGGATGGCATGAACGGAGAGCTAACTAGTAAATTAAAATCTCTATGGAAAAGCCACTCAGTGGATAACCTGTCTGTGACTGACTTGAAGTGAATTGTGTCTCATTTGTTTTTGAGGTACTCCAACTCCCTTGAGGAACTGGGGAAGTTTATTACTATTAATAAACTGTTTCCTTATATTAACTAAATGATTCATGGTAGCCTAAAGAAATTACTTCACCTGCAAACACAAAG